GGGAAAAGAAAAAATGTGAGATAATGAAAAGATGAAAATAAAGTGTTTGTAGATGGGGAGGGGAGGAGGGGGTGAAGAGAGGGCAGGGGTAAGGGGAAAAAATGAGAATCAAGACTTGTCATGTAGAGGTACAAGATCCCAACAATGAATGTAACTGTACTGTATCCCTAAAATATACCAATAAACTCAATTAAAGCTGAAAAAAAAAGAATCGTGCTGCTATAAACATGAGTATGCATATATCACTGTGGTATGATGTTTTAACTCTTCTGGGACAATAACTAGAAGAGAACTAGGTATGTCAAATAGAATTTCTATTTTTAGATTTTTGAGGAATCTCCATACTGATTTCCACAGTGGTTGTTACCAATTTACACTCCCACCAATAATGAAGAATGCCTTTTTTCCTGAAACCTTGCCATCCACCAGGAAATAGAAGTGTTACCAGGTTTTGGGGTGCTAGAGTCTCCTTCTGTAGGTGGTTTCTAGGTTCTTTCTGTCCTGAGCTAATAACTGGTTAAGACAACCATAAATGGTAGCAACGCCTTTATTAGAGGTAGGAAAAGACATACTTTACAGTGAGTTTAGGCCATATAAGTAGGAAAAGAGTACACCCTACAGCATGAGGGTGGACCACCATAGCAGAGCAAACAGTGGCAAAAATTCAATGTAGACTGTCCTTTTTGTGTCACTCACTACTCAGGCTTACATCAGGTCTAAGCCATCCTATCAAAAACCTACTTGAGTTTTCATGAGAAGACTATGTGCAGGGTTTTAGGAATTGTTCTGCACATATTTTCTGGGCTTTTATAATTCACAGGTAACACCTACTTCCCCAGCCAACTTTTCCATGCCCTAATCTCCTGTCTCATTTCCCCCTGAAACACATATCCTCATAATTCCTTTTTTTTATCAGGGATCAAACTTGGCACCTTGCACTTGCAAGCTTGCAAGGCAGGCAGCAGCACCTATCTCCAGCCCTATCCTCATAATTCTTTATAGGGTACTAAGGAAGTGGAGGTCTCTTTCTTCTATGGCTTCTTCCAGCTGGAAGGCACAGTAAACCTTACCTCCTGGGATTATGTGCTCTCCAACAATGTTGGAGTGTTGTGGCTCACTAGTTGAAGAAAAAAATTGTCATAAGACAATGAGAAGAGTTAGTGACTACTGAACTGCCTATCTGATGGGAGAAAGTAATTTTTTGAATCCAAATATGAAGCCTGGCATGATAGTGCCTGCCTATAGTCCCAGCAATCTGAGAGGCTGAGGCAGAATGATCACCATGAGTTTGAGGCCGGCCTGGGCTACACAATGAGTTCAAAGGCAGTTCACTACAAAATAAGACCAAGACAGACAGAAAGAAAGAAAGAAAGAAAGAAAGAAAGAAAGAAAGAAAGAAAGAAAGAAAGAAAGAAAGAGCCAAGAACACAAATAAGAGGAGCAAGTCAGATTTGCATGCTTCCTATGGAGGACAAAGTATGGCAAAGAGGAAGGTTAGATAAATTATCAAGAGCCTGAGACCCACAGCCTTAGCAAGATTACCCACATATTGGATTAAAAATAGGAGCCTCAATACAAGTGTCCGTTTACATTGTGATGAATTAGGGTAATTAGTGACTCTGCTTATCTGCATCTGAAGTAATACTGGAGTTTTGCTTTCTAAAGAGGCACCTCAGGTCTTTCAGAGGTTCTCAGAACAGCTTTTCCTCTTACTCTGTGAAAATTCTAATGACAATTTCACATGTAGGACTTTTACAGCTTGTCACTGTATTCCTTGTGGAAGGACCAGAATTGTTCTAGAACTAGAAATAAGGCTAAGACCTTGAGAGGCTATAGGGCTGCTCTTATTGCTGCCCTATCAACCTTATGATTCCCTTAAAGACATTTTAGACATGTGTTTTGAGATTCCTTACAATGCATGACTATGACCTGCTTGGGAAATGGAAGTGTCCCTAGGAGTCATAGAATTCAGCCTGTGATTTATAGATGATCACGTACTAGTCAGCAAGCTTCTTCTTTCCAGATTGCTGCATGAATATGTAGCACCAGAAAGGCATATTTGGAGTCTGTGTCTAAATATATATCTTCTTGCCTTTTCCTAATACCAATGCCCAAATAAGAGTGATTAGGTCTGCCTTTTCAGCAAAGCCCCTGGGAGAAGATGTTTTGCTTCAATGACCTGTTGTGAACTGACAACTGAATACTTTTATCAGTGAACCACACCTCTATATGGCCAGGAGTGGAGGGGCAACCACTGATGTCCTGCCTGCTTGCATCACTTGCTCACAAGACTACTTAACTTCTGGGCCTATAGACATCAGAGTGTTATGGCTTGTGTCCCTTCAAAGCTTCATGCAGTCATAAGTGGAGCTTTTTCAGAGGTGGCTGATTCCAGAATGTGTGGTGCTGGAGTTGATTCATGGTGCAATGCTAGGTTCAAGGGCACTAGGATTAAGGAGTGAGTGTTACCCACACTAAGTAGTATGGATAAGATAAAAGGGGCAGAGTGCTCACTTCAGCAACATATATACTAAGATAAAAGGGGCAGAAAGATGCTATTATGGTCCCTTGATCATTGGCTTTGCTGTCTTCTGCATGCAATGAATTTTTCCTCCTCTGAAATACCCTTCTGTCATGTGCTACTCTTCCTTGGAGCCAGCCAACTATAGACTGAAATCTCTACAAGCTGTGAGATAAATATACCTTTCCCCTTTAATTTGGGGTGTCAAGTATTTTGTCTTAGCAATGGGAAAAGTAACTATGACAGAGAGGCAGTACTAAGAGTAGAATAAGTTTTGTAACAGCCTCAGGGGTGTCTAAGAGCATGCCCCAATACTTTGCAAGCCATTCCCCTGTTAATCACCAGTAATCTTTTGTCTCCAGAATATTCCTGACCTGATGTCTCTGTTACACCCTTTGGGTCAAGACACAAAAAGCAGTTCCTCTCTCTTCTGATATGCAGAGACTGAAGAGTTTTCTTGAGTCTAGAATTCCATTACATCATGCAGCAAGATCCACTTCTTGCCTAGTTAGGTCAGGGAGACCTGGTATAGTTCCAACTTTGATAAAAATCCACTTTGGTCTTTGCCAGAATTTGAGAATTGTCCCCAGTTTTGCTAGTAAATATCTTCCTAGCAAAGGAGTAGGACACTGTGAGACAATTAGAAACTCATGGTTAAATGTTTGTCCTTCAAAGTGACACATCACAGCAAGAGTAAAGAATCTCTGACAGCTGGGTGTGGTGGTGCACACCTGTAATCCCAGCACTCAAGAGGCTGAGGCAGGAGAATCACTGTGAGTTCAAGACCAGCCTGGGATACATGGTGAGTTCCAGGTCAGTATCAACTACATAGTGAGACCCTGTCTCAAAAAAATAAAACAAAACAACAAAAATAATCTCTGACAAATGGTCCCCTTGACCCACGCTATGGCTATTAATCCAGAGGAGGGTTTTCCAGAGAAGTAAGTCAAAACAGAATAAATTCATTTAATTGACTCGTCCATTACATCCAGTGTTACCCAGGACTTCTCATAAGAAATAATAATATAAATGGACAGAGGCCATGTAAGTTCCCTTAGGCCTCTTCAGAGCAGAAAATGTGGGTTTTGGGTGGCCTAGCCACTCTCTGGAAGGAAGGATAGTCAGCCCTCCAATGCTATGAATCTAGCAGAGTGGCTGCCCCACACTCAGAGCAGAGCTCAGGCAGTGGCTTGGTCCAGTCACACACCCAGTATCCAGACTTCTTGCACTTCAAACAGGAACTTCCGCTGTCCTTGGGTTTTCCCTTAGACAATTTGGGTGATTTTTAAGCACTGTCAGTTGCAACACCTATAATTCTAGCTTTTCTCTTTTGACCCTCCTCCAACTCCTGATTGCTTGACACAGAAAAGGCCATGTCCAGCAATTGATTTATAGGTGTTTGGGGTCCCATCTGAAGTTTCTTCATTAAACAGATAGAAGAGATCTATATCTCCCTGAGAGACAGGTGGGGGCCCAAGGACAGGATCTTCCTCAGGGGCCACTCTAAATATCATAGTTGCTGGGGTTTTCATCAGATAAAAGGTCACAAATTCCTCAACATAAGGCATTTCATTCCACCTTCTATGTTTTAAGCAGAAACAATTTAACTGAAAAATAATCTCACAATTTAGACTTCCATTTCTGTACCCATGTCTTGCCATTCCCTACTTCATATTGAATACAAACCATATTGCAACAGTAGATAAGCTATTCCTTTCTCAAATTGGCAGGGTCGTACCTTTCCCATTGATCAAGCAGGAATCTGCAAGGAATGGTTCAGGTTTCCCATGGTTCTTCTTGGGGCCTACAGAAAGAAACAACTAGGTCTCAGGTCCTTAAGATGGTGTCCTGTGAAGAAGGAAGAGACTTCATGAGCCCATAAAGTGTCCCTTATGAGACTTAAGTATTATCTATGCATAATGTATTACTACTCAGCTAAAAGAAGGATAAACTCAAGAGATTTGTAGGAAAATAGACACAGCTGGAAAATACATTAACTGAAATAAATCATACAAGATTAAATACCATATGGAATCTCTCATTTATGTATGGAAAAGTACAAATAAAGAGCAAAATACCGCCTGCCTTGCAAGTGCAAAGACCAGAGTTCAATCCCCAGTATAAAAAAACAACTCATAATCTTAATTAATACCTGAGTTCGTAGGCCAAATCAATAATATCTAGCCTGCTCAGTGTGGTGTCAAGCTAGTCTCCTACACTTTACATCTAGGGGTCTATAATATACAAAAGGAAATCATAGGCTGGGCGTGGTGGTGTACCCCTGTAATCCCAGCACTCAGGAGGCTGAGGCAGGAGGATCGCTGTGAGTTCAAGACCAGTCTGGGATACACAGTGAGTTCCAGGTCAGTCTCAACTACATAGTGAGATCCTGTCTCAAAAAAAAATGGAAATTATAGAGGGTTTTAAAAATCTAGAGATGTCCCTTAGCAACTATAAAATATCTGCCATTTTAGACAAGAAGATAAGCTTGAGGCCAGAATTATTTGAAGAATATTAGAACCAAATAAGGCAGAAGGAGGAAGCAAGCTAGCGTTACAAAAGTAACCCAGAGAGGCCCCAGGAAAAAGAGAAAAAAATACCAACAAACGTGGGTTAAGGGGTGTCCCTAGGACCCAGGAAGGGTACAGCAGACAGATGTGAAAAGCTGCCTATGGGCCTCTCCCTCCAGCAGGAAAATACAGAGGCCATGTGCTTCCCCCATCCTTTCCACATAGCGGGCCGCACTAGAAACTGCCTCCAGAGCCATAAGAAAACTGCCTGAGCTCCCCACCAAGCCCCTTTCCCTCCAGCTTCCTGGTTCTCCCTTATAACTAATATCAGAAGAAGCTGAAAGATTTTAGTTTTCTGACGGGTAGAAGCTTGAGTGGAAGACAAAAGACAAGAAGGTTGGAGCTTTCTTAGAGGCGAAAAGAGGGACAAAATGAAAACCAGTGGGTTCTTTGTCTGAGTCCATAGGCTCAATCAGGTCCTGAGGATAACGTCGGTGATCACCTGAATAACCTGACTTTGCATGTTTTACAAAATGTTCCCGGCCACCCAAAAATATGCGAGCCATGGCATTGGGTAGACTGAGCTTCTGCCCTGTAGGAGAGAGGGAGATCAAAAGAGCACTTGACAGGATCTCCTTCTGGCTAAAGTGTTTGGAACCCAAAACAGTGCATGACTTAAGGAGATTGCTTCTTTCAGATGTCACACCAAAGGCTGATCTTCTTCATGGCGTCTTGGGGCTGGGTTTCCCGTGGCAGTTGCATGAGAAACTTTGTTTAAGACACTGCATGAGCCAATCCTTACAGGTGTCTCCACAGTTAGAAAACTTTAGTTCCATGAGACACAGGAATGGATATGTTATCCTGAAAATACTTGAGGACACTGCACACCATGGAAGATGCCTGTCAACACCTCTTCCCATTTCTGGTTAGAGGAAGCAGGTACCTCTTGTCTTTGGTGCTTGTGTGTAAAAGCACTCATTTTTCAGGGAACTGGTGAAAAGGAGCTGTCCAGACTCACTGAGTTCTGGGACAAGAGAAAGGAAAAAATTTCAACTGGATTTGTATCCTGAAGCTGAAGTTTTCACTTTTAATTTATAATTAATTCCTTGCCTTCTTTCTACCTATTTTGAAATTTCTTCTACCAGTCTGAACTGGCTGCTGAAAAGAACTTTGCTTTTCTAGAAATGCCCTCCTGGGTAGGGGAGTTACTGAGGGGATGGCACTTGGAAAGGACCAAAGAGCACCCCTCAACTGCCGGTGGGGGGGCATCTAGAGTTATCCTGGAACCATCTCCAAGGTACAAAGCAAGAACCTGAGGACAGGCCCCAGGAAAGCACAGCACTGGAGAATATTGGGTCTCCAGCCCCAGTCTACAGAAGGGGAAACTGAGGCAGGTTCAAGAACACACTGTTTAAGATTTGTTCCAGCTACTTCTTGAAGTTCTTAAGGAGATGAAGTTGCCTGAAAGGGACCAGTTAGAGTTTAGCCAGCTTGGCTCAGCAGGAGAGACTGGCCTGGTACCTTGCCCATCCTCCTGGTACATCGCTCCCCCTTATTAGGCACCTGGCTTAGCTGATATCACCTGTTACAAAGCAGCCTCTGTCCATACAGCACTACCAAGGCCTGGAGAACCATCCACCATCCACTGTCTTGTCACTTTCTCTAACCTCAGTAACGTAGTAATAATGACTAGGACTTAGAATAATGACAGATCTTAGAATTAAAAGAGAAAATAAGTGGGGGGAAGCTGGGAAGCCAGCAAAGCTGATGCCTGGGAGATTCTATTTTTTTATTCACCTACCAACCACCAGAACCTAGCATAAGATGACTCACCTTTGATAAACCTAGGGAGGAAAGCCCATGATCACCACCTCTGCCCAAATATTTGGCAAAGTTCTCCCTTTGCCCTAACTAAAATGACTCTTGCCTCACGGGGACCCTCAAGTGTGGCCAGCAGTGGCCACATCACAATTAATAACCAAGGGTGCAGAGGACTAGAATGTGGCTGATTGGCTGAGCAAGTGGGCAGTTATCAGAGACCTCTGTGGTAAAATTAATAAGACAAAAACAGAGGAGCCAGGACAACCAGTACTACTCGTCCAGCAAAGGCACTGGTCAATCCCAAGCCACTGATTTTTTATTAGTAATCAATTGGGGTAGAAGTGAACTATGCGCTAAAGGGGAGCTAAGTGTGATGACAGGCAGTCATACGGTTACTATGGATACCAATGCCAGCAAGGCTTGCAAAGGACAAGAGAAAGCATTCACAAATTAGGAACAGAATAAATAACACATACGGTTGTAATTGGAATCTCGTGCTTCTAGTTAAGAAAGTTTTAACTGTGGGAAGGGAATTTGGGTGCAAGTTGCTCTGACCTCAGCATGCAGGCTTCGGCTGTACTCACTTCTCAAAACAAGCCGATTATGGGGTTCGCTCTTTACAGCCCGCACTGCTTACAGCCTGCTTTGAGCGTAATCAGTTTTGTGGCCCCTGCAGGCATTCCCTTTCAATCACAGAGATTCAAGGCACATGTATGAAACATAGCTTCCAGGACTTGCACCAGGGACTAATCAGAAAGGGCTCTCTTCAATTCCTCTGGTATGAAATCGAGCAGATGCTTGACAGGGTGGCCTAACTCAGACGTCAGCCTGAAGAATGATGGGTGCAGAAATCCTCTACCATTAACTTCATGGCCACTGTGGACCTTTTCAGCTGCCTGCCCTCACTCTGCAGGGCATACTTCTTTTCCTAACTTTACTAAATGCAAAACCTCACTACCTCTACACAGTTTTTTGTTCGAGGCACCAAGGACCTCAAAAGAACCTAAGAACCTCAGAAAACTGGTAACACCAGGGATGAGACACCCACTGTATCTGTAGTTCTAGGCCCCTTTCTGAGCAATCTGACGGCCCCGTATGGTAGAAGGGCACTCAGCCCGGGCTGTGAGGCCCCTGTTCCTGCCCATCTCTTGGCCTCAGTCTCGGATGGTACCAACCCCATCCCTTCCACCAGCCCTGCCCCAAGCCCATCCTTTGTCCTTGCCACCTCTGCGGCCTTCTTCCTGACCCCACCTGATTCTAGTCCAGCTCTCATTTAAGGCCAAGCAAGTGGGCAGGCAAGGGGGAAGAAAGCTCCATCAGGTATGGTGCTGCTGTGATTTGAAAGTGTGTGTCCCCACCAAACCCATCAGTTGGAACCTAAGACCCCAAGTAAGTATCAAGAGGTGGGGCCTTTGGGCTTCTAAGTAGGGCTCCAGTAGTGAATAAGTTAGGTTCTTTTGCTCTCCTGTCTCTTCCACAGTGTTAGGACAGCTAGAGGGTGTCACCTATGCAGAACAGGCCAGACACTGAACCTGCTAATGCTTTCTGGACTTCCCAGCCTTCAGAATTGTGAGAAATAAATCTCTCTTACTTATGAAGGATGCCATCTATAGAGTTTTGTTACAGCAGTAGGAACACACTGAAACTGCTGTGTACTTCTCTGGTGCTGTGGGGACTACTGAGAATAGGTAGCCAGGACTCCAAGTTCTCACACATTGGAGAGAACGGAGGCTCTGTCCAAGAAGGCTCCAGATCCTGCCATCCCAAGGGCTCCATTCTGGGCTCGACTTCTGTAAGCACCTCCCTGGCTGTCTAACCCATACCCAGTTCCATCCTCTCAAAATCTCAAGGTAGGAGTTAAATTCAAACACATGAACCCTTGGGGTACACTCAGACCATAGAGTTATCCTGTCTCCTTAGGCTCTTATGGGCTATGACAGTTTCTCAGCTTTCCTTCGGTTTTGATGACCCTGACAGTGTCAGTGTGATGCTTGTTTGGCAAGCTGGCCTGGAATTCAATGTTTGACTAAAAGACAGATATTCCAAACCAATGACTGCTTGGCCCTTTCCCTTTTTAATCTCGCTTCTCTGTATCTTTTCTTTCTTCTTTTCCCATTTACCATTCTACCTTTTAAATGAACTAAGGATTCAAGATGAGCAGATTATTCTGGATCGTCCCGTTAGGACATAAATGTCATCCCGAGTGTCCTGTGAGGCACACAGAGGGGGATTAAACACAGAAGACACAGTCATGAGAAGACAGAGGCACAGGCAGGAGTGATTGGGCCACAATCCCAGGAGCTTCCCTCCAGACACATGACCTGGCCTTCTGAGAATGGGGCTCCGGAGGCTGCAGCTGTCCTCAGCACTGGTCTCTGCTCCTCTCCCACCACCCAGCCCCTCACCCCACCTCTGTTGGCGCAGGTCAACCCTGCTCCCTGTGTCCCTCACAGTGGGGACAGATACTGCTCAC